GCCAGCTTGTGTATATGAACATATAAGGACGAAATACCAAACAAGACATCGAGAAGCAAAATGCTACAGTGTCAGTTGAATTGGACAGTTTGTATTTGCAATGGCTAATTGTTCCACTTGGCCTTTTATATAGCCAAGACTGCATTGTTGAATTTGCGCGATATAAATTAATAAATGTTATGTTATGTTATACAGTTTTATCAAATAGATTTCATGAATGTTTCTGGTATTAAACGCCTTCCGAGTTTTATTGAAAATGTGCTTTATATCGTGTTTTTCTGGAGAAGCATGAGGTTGTGTGACATGGCGAAACTTGTCTATTTCAGTTCTATTTTTGGAACAGCTTAGCTTGTATTGTAAACTATGCGACTACCAACTAATTTTAATCAACAAATACAAATATACAATAATTAAAAAATAATGTACCTATACTTTAACATCTTACAAGGTTGTCTAGCTGCTATGAAATAGAGAATGACTATATTATAGTGTTCAACTCGCAGCGTCACAGACTTGACTTTTTTGTATTAAACATTAATATGAAATGTATTAATAGACATGTACAGTACTCAGTAGAATTTCCAAGCCCTTGGACAATTTGCCAAACCAAACGCGTACTCATGCAGTTAAAATATCTTGACCACTGGTCAGTTTTCTGAGAGTATTTCATTTGATTTTGAAATTTCCTTAACTGCTTATCCCATCAGTCCTCCAATGTGCTGTATTATAAATGGTAAGCTAGTGCCTATAGAAGTACTAGTGGTTTCATGTCATAACATGAACAAATTAAGTGTTAATTGGCTTTACACTTTGCTTTAGAATGTCCCTTCATTGGTTGCTTGCATTTTCTACACATGGGAGCCTTCCTGACATTGCTCTTGGTACTTTGTGTGGCTTCAACCATTGTTTCGAGCAAGGTATCTTGGTCAGCCACTGTAACAAAAAATATTAAAACATTAAGACAGAATAGGTTAAGACACTACTATCAAACACATTTCCAATATAAAAAAATATACTTTTCCCATGAAGAAAAAATGATACCATAGAGGGGTGTGGCAAGTAGGGTAGCACCCTGCCTGAGTATTAATAAAGGTGTGTGAAGCTAAGTGTTCAACTTCCCAATTTCTAACCAGGCCAAAAAAAAATGTGGGTTTCCGGTTTCTTCTTATAAAAACTTAGGTAGGGTAGGTCAGTTTTAACTTTTTTTTTAAACTTTTTTTTTAATTTTCCGAAAAAGCGGACACCATTTTGTTTAGTCAGTGCTTCCACAAACAAAGATAAATTTCCCTAATATTGCCTCAAATTTCAATTTTCCAGAAACTTTTTCCTCTAAGTGGAAACACTTACAACCATGATCCAATAAAAAAGTTTAGGGTCGGATTTCGACGTCCAAAAGCTAGGTAGGGTCGGGAAACTGGAAACCCACATTTTTTTTGGCCCCAGGAGTTCTCCATGGGCAGGATACTTTTTGTATGAATTATTTCATACTGTAGATTTCAATTTCAATGATCGTCTTTAACCCATTGAGTGGTAGCACTCTCCCCCTGACGAGTAAAATCATCTGGCGTTATACAGTAAATTAATAAAGTAGGGTGCATCTGGGCACATTGCCACTTAATTAAAGGGTTAAACCAACAGCTGGCAGTGCACTTAAATGCACCCTACTTTAGTTTGTTACTCTGCTACCTAAATCCAGATGATATTACTTGTCAGTGAGCAGGGTACTGCCAGTTGAGGTTATTGATAATTCAGGAATAGAACTACAATATACTTCACACTAGCACTGCACCTGGTGGAAAAAGGGGGGTGTTGTTTCTTTGTTGGTTAGCTTGAAATTTCTTGACTGCCTGTGATTTGGATAGTTTCTCAGAAAACTGGGAGTTGAGAGGCTTTGGAGTTTTCTTGGTATACTTTGATAATATAGTTTTCATTTCTTTACGACTGAAAGAAAACAAGAATTCTTTCATGGAGTCAACATATCCTATAAGAAAAATGTCACATTAGTGCCAGCCCATATTGAAGATACTGCAGTGAAGTTGCATCAGTCTACCTGAAAAATACAATAATAACTTGGATTTCAAGCAAACATACACTAGCACTAATGTTGCTAATGAAAGTAGTATGACTAAAATTATTTCACCATTTCTAAACGTCATTAAAACTCCCTTTCAAAAGGTGTTACTCTTACCATAAGTCGGTGAAACTGGAACTTCTCTTACAACCTCATCACCAAGCTAAAACTTTGGACATGTTACTCTGTAGTACTTTGATCCACTTATAAATTTTTTGGTTTCCCTACTGATATTTTCATTAAAGTGGAGACTTACCAGAATGTGTGCCTATTTGCCATAGAAATGATAAGTTATCAATAATTACAGCTTGTATTGTACACATTAGATTTTTAATATCAATTTCAAAGGAATCAAATTACTGTATGTACCTGCATGTAGTACCTAACCAAGAAAAGTGGATCATCTTAGGGTGCCAGAAGTTTAACGTGGCATGGAAACCTTCTACTGCACTTGTCTGGGCATCTGGAGACAGCATTCTTATGTCATTCAATAGAACTTTCTTTGTAAGAGTGGTTTCTAGTCTGTCATGAGCAGCAGTGCCTGAAAATTGTAAATAAGATATTAAATTTAATTTACTGTATACAGTACGTATTTATAAATTGTCTACCATTAAACTCCTTAAAGCTTTCTTTGCACTGGGCATTCACCCATCCATCACGGGCAATGCATTTTAAAGTGTCTCTTTTACTAGATACAATAGTACTATATGCAGAATAATGCATAATCTGCAGTGATGTGCATAACATACTAGCATGAGGTAGTCAGTGATGAAATACAAGTTGATTAACCCTTTAAATTAAGTGGCAATGTGCCCAGATGCACCCCACTTTATTATTTTACTCGTCAGGGGGAAAGTGCTGCCACTCAATGGGTTAATATTTGAAGTTACTGACATGCATATACCGTACTAAGGGACCAGTCATTATTAATGCCGGGTAGGGGGCCGGAGGAAATTTTTATAAATAGCTAAAATTTTTCATGACCCCTTATTTTTCTACCAAAATTGTTTTATGCCCCCCCCCTTATTGAGACAACATATTTCATAGCCCCCCCCCCCACATTCTGAATTCAATGACTCACAGTTTCGCAACCATTTTTCCTGCCCTCATATTTGTTTACTTGCAGCTGTAAAGAATATTTTATAAAAAGTGTTAGAAATAAAAGATAATTACTTAACCTGTTTAAAGCACAAGGCGTTTTTATAACATTTATATTTTTCTTACCAATATATGAAGAAAGTCTCCAATTGCCTGCAATCCTGCCACTTCTTGTAGCCACAAATAAACCATCCATCTGGCTTTCAGCATCAGAGGACTCATCTTCTTCATCCCCCTGAACCTCAAGATCACTAATATCAGATTCCGCCTCAGTTGTGCAGTTAATGACCTATATTGAAGACACAAAAAGAACAGACAAAAAATATTAATTCTATACTGTATGCCTACAGTCTGTCAGGACTGGATTGCTAGAAAGCTTACATATTAAGAATGAACATTCAATAATTTCTTTTACACGAAGCATGCAATATTATATTCTATATGAATCATACCAACTTCTTACCTCGTCCATATCATCATCTGATAATTCAAAATCATTCTCATCATCCATCTCTTCACCTTGGTCCACAATGTTATCTCCTGTTTCACATACACTTTGTGTTCTCACATGTCTCGAAATCACCTCGATTTTTGCTCCCTTTTGCACTTTCAAACATTCCTTCATGTTGTACATGATAAAGTATTTATTGAGAGTTTCAACAAGCAGATTCTTGATGCTTCCATCCTCAACTTTGCCCAACCAGTTGATGTCATCAAAACCCTGCTTCTTCTCTGTTTCTCTCCTTAATCTAGTTTCTCTTTTTTTCACCTCTTTAGTCATGGTTTTGAAAATCAGGTCATCCAGAGCAAATTTCACAACACTCTCAGGGACAATGCACTTTTCTGCAAAACTAGTTATTGTTGCATGGTCTTCATTCTTCACTGCACCTTGTTGGAACAAATCCTTTAACTGTACCCTTGGATTGAATTGATCCACTGGTCTAGGGGCTCCATCTTTCTCACTAGGGGTATCTTTGACATGCAAGTACTTAAATTTATTTGAGGTATAATCAGGCATCGGCTCCGGTATACGGTGGCAAACAGCATCAACCCAACCAGATACAAGACAGTTTGAACATGCAGAGTTGTCATTATTTTGACAAGCAAACTTCACAATCTCAAAGTACTTCTCACCTGTTTGGGCATGATTCTTTAAAAATTTCTCGACCTTTGAGAAGTAGTTGTGACCTGGAACAATCAAGTTGTTTTTCCTCTCAATGAAATCTGTAAGATAGGGCTTATCCCAGTAGAATAATTGATCTGCTGCACAGCTCACAAAACTCTTCATAAAACCATCAGGTGCCACTGCACAGTCAATCCTGTCTGACACTTCTTTGGCTACCTGAAATGCAAAGTTGCAATTGTTTTGACATACAGTATATTCACTGATGAAAATTATCTGGGGAAAGGGTAATAAAATTCAATCTGTTTATTTATGCATGCATATGTAATGAAAGAAATATCTTCCATATACTGCAGTAACTGCACCTGGAATGCATTGAATTTCATTCTCTCCATTTCTAGCTCTTCAAGCTTTCTTGTGGTCACTGTGGACACATCCAAGTTGGATAGTATATCGGATGTTTTCTTATACTCCCAATCTAAAGCACCTCCATCGCACACAGCATCTCCTGTGAAAACAATAAATTAAGTATATAGTGATGTATATACTGTTTGAGCCAAATTTGTTAGGGAGATTGAGGGGGGGGGGGGGCAGGACTAGTTAAGTATGTATTATTATAAACTAAAAACTGAAAGTTGAAAATATCTTCACCTTACCTACATAACTCTGAATTCTCTCCACTTCATTGTGACTACTAACTCTATGTGCTAGATGATGGCGGATGTAGTAGTCATAGTTCATGAATCTTGCTTCTTCCACAGTCCGGAATTTAACCTCGTGGTTGGTGATTCCAACACCAGGTCCAGCATCAGTAAGGTCAACAATCCTGGACTTTAACTTTGGGAGCTTGATTTCGCTCAATAGTTCCAGACAGTCATTCATTGAGTTTATCATTTCAGCACTACTAGGATGTGCTTTATTGAGGTTTTCTTTATAGCTAACAATGCATGCTTGCAGTAGATTCAGCTTTGATGCTGTCCTTTTCAAAGCAGCAACCTCCATTTCACACAACTCTTCACTGATTTCCTGTAATTTAGTTTGGTGGTCATGTACTCTTGCTTCAAATGTTTGCACTTTCCTCAACTCATATGTCTTAAATGGACAACTTTGGTAATCCTTATTAATAAGCTGCAAATCATCTTCATCAAATTGGTAGATAAAATATTGCAAGTCATCATGCAGTGCACTCATTGCTGATCTAAACAGCTTACTTTGCCACTCTGGAGGGATTTCTGCTTCGTACAAACTCGGTTCTCTGTGCTTGATATCCATTAGGTGACTTGCCCATACTTGCCCATACTTGCCAGAGCTTCCAACGAAATATTTCGGTTTTGTTACCACAATAGTTTGTTGATCACATGTCTTTACGGATTCTTCATTATCAACCACTTGAGTTTTTTATTCATAAATAAGAAAGTTCCTGACGTGCAGTTTACCATGCTTTGTGGAAAGTCATACTTGGGTAAATTCTTTGATAAATTAGGGTCTTCTGGCTGGTATATCTTTTGTGACCTAACCCCTGTCATTCCAGTGCTAGTGCCAGGACAAAGGTATGCCTTATCATCAAAGCTCCTATAGAGAGTATAATGTTGATTTGGAAAACATTCTGTGTCACTTAGTGATCTTATGATATTCTTTTTTTGAGCCCTGCAAAAATGTGTTAAAATGCCAGAATTGTCTTCTGCTTTTGGTGGTTTTTTACAGCAACACAATCCTAAACCACAATGCTTTTTGGCTTGTAATGATCTTTTGGATTTTGGTCTTGATCTGTTATATGCTGTTGTTGCTGACTTGATAGGTGGCAGGTCTTTACCTTTACGACTGAAATTCACAATTCGCAGGAAATTTTTTTTTTGACTCGGTGATTTAGGTACATAACAGAATCATGCCTTCTTCCATGGGCTGTTGCTTTTTCTGTTATGCTTTATACAAGAAATTGCTCATCAATCTCATCCATGCTCCTCTTGCGACCACTACCAAGTTTTCTTAACTTCAGCCTCCTGTCTCTAATAATGTTCATTTTGCAACGATTTAGCATACGCTTTTTTGGAACTGATTCTTCTTCTTCTTTTAACTTTTTGAGAGAATCAACTACGTTCTTTAGGTCCTCAATATTTTCACTTTCCTCTTCAATTTGTGTTCTGGACCAAAGCCCTTCTTTAGAGTTGAGCAGCTTCTTTTTTGAATAAAGTAGATTTTCTTTCTTTTCTATTCGCTTGTCAATCTCCTGTGCCACTGCAGATGCTGCTTCTTTCTCAATTTCTTCTAGATGATCTAAGTAACCAAAAACGCATTGTTTATCCTGAAAAAGGGAATCACTGTCTATACCTAGAGCATCTACTTCAGCCCTTGTCCTTGTTGCTCCAAGAATAACTCGTAATATTTTCTTATCCCATTCTGTATCAAGGGCTTGATACAATGCTTGGACAGTTTCCTTATCCAAAACAAATCGGCTGGCTGGAATACCAATACCACGTTCATATAGATGTAAGTAAAAATCTTCCAGATCAACGTCATCGGATCTTAGAATTACAAACAGATTTCCTTTTAAAGTATCAACAAGATAAACACAAAGGCCATAGTTTGGATGCAGAAGCATTTCTTTGAAATGTTTCTTTTTATCTGTGTCTTTGATGTTTGTACTTCCAAAGGTACAATAACCCAAGAACAGCTGATATGCTTCTTCAAATTCAATATAACTTGCCACTCGTGTTGACCCATCACTACATGCCACATTTGCAAGCAAACAGTCCAGAATGGCGCGAAGCCCTCGTAGATGTTCCCTGAGTTGAGAGCCTGACGAAACTTTCTTGTCTTCAAGAACACTTAAATTTTCTTTGAGCTTATACGATTGTAATGAACTAAGAACAGCTTTATTTCTCACAATATTACCTCTAATAAAACTTCTAACTTCGTTTCCAGACGCCATCTTGAAACGCAAAGCATATACTTAATGTAGGCTCTCATTATAGTGTATTTAAACCGCATTGAGTATGTTTCACATGCTCACTGCAGAGGACTCACTGGATCACATGTTTCACACAAAAACATACATATTCAATTAAATAGTTGCATTGCAAATATTTGCCTGTTATTTGGTATGGAAATTGAGCAAGATATGAATATTGATTCAACGGAAAGTGCAAATGATGTTTATCTATTTTTGAAAGAAAATAATTTTCTACAATACTGGTCAAGCTTCGATAAGGAGGGCTACGATGACATGAAACAGTTGCTAGAGATGACACCAGATGAATTAGAACAGGCGCTAGCACAAGATATCGGAATCAAGAAAATAGGCACCTCAAGCGATTGAAGGCTCTTTTAGCTATCCATTCTACAAGAGGCAATTCGAACGAAAAAGAATACGAGGGTAAAGATGCAAAGAAAAGCTCAAACAAAACTCAGAAATGTAGGTACCCTAGTGTTTGATTTTATTATGGTACAACATGTGAAGATATAGTATGACCCAGTCGACAATAGCCGTTTTCTCTTTTAATTTTTGCAGCTCTGGTGATTTAATAATAATCAATATTTTGTATATCTGTTTGTTGTGTAGTGTCAGCCTCAATTGCATCAAGGTTATTGATACCAAATCCTATCACAGAAAAACACAAGTTTTACAATGAACTACTCTATGAACTGTTCAATGATTCTTATGAGTTGATGCCACATGATGCTTTCATATTGTATGTTACTGGTCAGAGAGAGTCATGATAGAAAATCAAACAAAGGTTAGATAGTATGAGGTTATACGAGATAAAGTTGGCTGAATCTAAGGATGGACATTGGCAAAATATTAGGAAATATGTTGGTGACCAAGTAATGCTGACTTCAAAAGACAGGAAACCAGCAGAAAGATGTGTAGAATTTATGGCAGGAATTATACAAGAGGTGGACTCATTCATTGTTGAGTGCAAAACACTGCGATCAAACTTATTTGATAAGGAAAACACTGTGAAGCCATGGAAAGCCAATGAGTTGCTCTTTTTGGAAAACATAATCAAAGATTTATCAGCAATCGACACAAAGATGGTGAAGGCAAAGGGTGACATTTTTCAGAATGTTTGCTATTTAAGAAGAAGGGTGTTGGAAAGTGAAGCCATCCAACACGATAACAGTCGCTCTAAAAGAAGAATGAAAGAAAATAAGCGCAAATCATCAAATAGAAAAGAACAACGAAAATTGAGAAGCTGTTGTAAGGTTCTTCAAGAAATAATTGGATTGACAGATGATGCTCAGGAAATGATAGCCAAGGTGGACAAGGGCGACTTTAGTTTTACAATAGACAATTCAGACTTTGTACCTGAAAAGCTGTTGGCCCTCGAACCAAAAACCCACAAATCAGGCCTACGTTTCTTAATTGAAAAAAAAATATTTGTGTCTGGTGGAAGCAAAGACATGGCAGAAGAGGCTGTCAGCAACATGGAGAAACAGAACATGCCAAAGTCAAAGAGGTCCACTGTTAAAAAGCGCAAAACAGGACAGCAAATGTCAATCGAATCTGCATTTGCAAATGCAGTGTATGACCCTTCAGACAATTCATCAAATCCATAAGAACAACTCATAAACATGGCGGTCAGATGTGTCTGCTTGGTTCTGCATATCTTTTTGATAATACGACTACTTATTAATAACTGTTGGCTTTCTAATGATACTAATAAAGAAAGACATTTGTCTTGGGATCTCGGACCATCACAAAACCCTCGTTTACAGAAACTTGGCCAAGAAATAATCAACAGGATAACCGGCATTGAATGGCGGAAACCGTATCTGCGATTATCCACTCGCAAATCATCATGGAAAGAAAGCTCAGTTTCGACCAATAAGTATATTTTCCTTTTTACCTTATTATTATCTAACGATATAAACGTGAACCCAGGTCCTGTTAGCAACCTGAAATGTCAAATATGCCTTAAAACCATCCGAAGAAATCAAGCTTTGGCTTCATGTTCTGAATGTAATGTCAAATTTCATTCGAAATGTTGGGATACATCCAATATGAACCCTCTTTCCGTAAAGTGCCAATTTTGTGCATCCACCGAGTCTAGTACTGGTTTACTGATTGATGGAACTGAGCAAATTCAATTCCCAAGTAACTGGAGTAAGTTAATGTCGAGTCGGGGTTTGAAAATCTGCCATCAGAATATTTGTGGTCTATTTAATAAAATAGACCTTCTCCGTGTCAATTTTGACCTGATGAAGGAATTACACATACTTGGTATAAGCGAGTCTCATCTCACTAAAGATATAACGGACCCAGAGATAAGTATATCAGGATACAATATCTTTAGACGCGACAGACAAAACAATAATTATGGAGGTATAGTGGTCTACGTGAAAGAAACTGTAAACAGTGTACGAAGAGAAGATCTAGAAAGTGATTTCATTGAAGGAATTTGGCTTGAGATTTTATTTCCCAATACTAGAAGTATTCTTGTTGGTAACTTTTATAGACCACCCGAAGGTTCCCTTTATTTAAGCCCAAATTTCGACATCGAACTACAAAACATGCTAACAAGTGCCACGTGCGAAAAGAAAGAGATTATAATTTTGGGTGACTTTAATTACGATTTCCTAAATCCCACGAGTGGCCGAACTCTTAAAGAAAATTTGAAAGACAATGGTCTTATGCAAATCATCAAAGATCCGACACGCATTACAAATAATTCCTCCACACTTATTGATATCATAGGAACGACTCAAACCCACAACATCTCAACGAGCGCTGTTATACAAAACTCTATGAGCGATCACGACATGATCGGATGTGTAAGAAAAGTTAATAACCTAAAGTTTGCCCCTCGAACTGTTACTGTTTCATGTCGAAATTATAAACATTACAATCCTGAACAATTTATATCCGACCTTAAACGACTTAACTTTTCTTCAAACATGAACATGGATGTAGATACCGTATGATCTAACTGGAAAAAACTGTTTCTATCGGTAGTCGATAAACATGCTCCTGTTATTAGTAAGAGAATTTGAGGTTTAGAAACACCATGGCTTTCTTCAAAAATAAAGTCTCTTATGTACGAACGAGATTACAATCTTAGAAATGCCCGCGCAAATAACTCTGAATTATTTTGGAGTACATATAAGAAGCTTAGAAATACTGTCACGGCTGAAATCCGAAAAGCTAAATCAAATTTTAATAAGAAACTTTTAGAAGAGAACATGGATAACCCTAGCAAATTCTGGAAATCTATTAAAAGAATTACATCCGGCAATAAAACCAAGACTAATCCGCCCATACGAGTAAAGTCCATTTTCAATGATAAAGTAACCGAGACTGATGCAGATACAGCTACTACGTTTGGCTTATTTTTCAGTCGAATCGCGGAACGAACCTCTAAAGAATTTTATAAACTGCATCCAGCCTTAACCTCTTTATCCTCAGTCCCGGCTTACATACTCAATTCAAATAATGTTGGACCTAATGTTTTCAACTTTAAAGAAATTGAGATATGTAACATTTACAATCATCTTCGAACATTGAAAACGACTAAAGCCATTGGTCTGGACGGTATTCCAGCAAAGTTGCTTAGAGACTCAGCATCAGTTATTGCGCCATCAATAACCTCACTATTCAACCTATCGTTATCCACATCAACATTTCCGAGTGATTGGAAATTAGCCAGAATTATTCCCATCTATAAAGGCAAAGCCCGAAACGACCCAAGTAACTATAGACCCATCTCAATTCTCCCAACCCTATCCAAAATTCTCGAAAGGGAAGTTCATAAGCAGTTAAGCACCTACCTAGAAGCCTTAAACCTTATTTCGGGATTTCAGTTTGGTTTCCGTAAGAAGTATTCATGCCCAATGGCTATCACTCTTATATCTGACACCATTAGGAAAAATTCTGAAGCGGGTCTATTGACAGGCGCAGTTTTCCTCGATGTTCAAAAAGCATTCGATACAGTTTCACATCCGAAGCTACTCAGTAAACTGAGATTCTTTGGAATCCGTGATAACGAACTTAATTGGTTTGAGGACTATTTGTTAGATAGGTACATTCAAGTTGGAGTGAACGGTGCATTATGTTCATCATTTCCTGTGAATTCAGGAGTACCGCAGGGATCTATATTGGGACCATTGCTTTTTATAATGCACATGAATGACTTATTGCTTACTCCCTTTACTGGCTCTAACCTGATAAGGTATGCTGATGATACCATGATCTATTTCGCTGCAAAGACCACTGCTGAAATTACCGATATACTAAATGAGGACTTAAAGATTATCGGAGACTGGGCAATCAACAATGAAATCTATCTGCACCAAGGGAAATTGGAATTGGTCCTCTTTGGGACGCACAAACGGAGATCAATAAATGAACCCTTAAAAGTTCAAATTTATGGCCTTGATATAAAGTCGTCATTGGTATACAAGTACCTTGGTCTACATCTTGACAGTGGCCTGACGTATAAAGATCATCTACAGTACACCTGCTCTCGAGTCTCGAAAAGAATAGGTGCACTACGACGTATTAGACCATATATTACAACCCACACCGCATTAACCATCTATCTGGCAACTGTTCTCCCCATATTGGACTACTGCGACTTCATCTGGGACTGCCTTAGCCAAACCGATGCTGACAGACTTGAAAGATTACAAAATAAAGCAAACGAAATAATTTGTAATAACATTCCCACAGTAGATACTAAGCTGACTTCTCTGAAAGATAGGAGATCTATGCATCTATCAATTTTTACATTTAAATGTATTAATAATTTGGTTCCAGTTCCTTTCAATGAGTATTTCACACTTTATCAACCTAAGCACTCAATTAGAAACAGTGAGATGAAGTTATTAGTTCCAAGATCAAAGTTAGAGTTCGCAGAACGCAGCGTTCTTGTAAGAGGCTCTAAAACATTTAATAACTTGCCTGAACATGTCCGCCTAGAATCATCTCTACCTAGCTTTAAAGCTAAACTCTTAGACTTATTTACTGCTTAACTTATTTACTGCTTAACTTATAATAGAGTATATATATATATATATATGTGTATATTTTAACTGTAGGGCCCTCATTGATACCAGTGATATATTACTGAAGAGGTTATACCCTACGGAAATAAATTTGATTTGATTTGATTTGACAATGAGGATGACCATTTCCCATGTACAGTAGAAGTAGAGCACAACTTTTAGGTTCAATATATCTGGAATTAATTTTCATTGTATGTATGTATCTACTATATCCATAATTTACTCTTTTGATATTACATGTTACAAACTATTCCATAGACTTTATTTTTGCCCCCCCCCCTTGTTCAAAATATTTTCTGACCCCCCCCCTTCACTGGTCAAAAATTTTTGGTGGCCCCTCAAAATTTCCTCCGGCCCCCTACCCGGCATTAATGATGACTGGTCCCTAATACAATAAAATATAATACTATAAAAATTAAGAAAATATATGTTATTTGAGGTTGAATCATTTGTCCTAGTTTAAGTTGTGTGCCTTTATGAGTTTATGATCATATGCCAAATTGCTTACAAAAGAATTAAAATCTCTTGACCAAATGAAGTTGAATTTTAAAGAAAGCGATTTTGTCATGCATAAAATAAATAAATAGTCACATGGGCAATCGTGCAATTAATGATTAACGGCTTGTGCAATTTTGGCACATTTTTAAAATATCACTTGTAGTGTTAATCATTAATTGCATGATTGCCCATTTGATTATCTATACCTATACAGCATTTTTTCACCTATTTACCGAGACTGAGGGAAACGTACCGTGTGTTTTGTGGACCAGAGACAAAGCCGAGGGCAACAACAGCGGTCGAGGGGCCAAAAAACATTTCTTTCCCGAGGTCTCAGTAAATAAGTGTTTTGTTATATAGTATATAAGTGTCAAAGTATGAATAATTCACCGGTTATTGGAGTGAACTTAATTTGAAACCAAAACTGGATGAATGGAACACCGTAAATGTTTAATAAAAAATTTAAAGTGGCTATGACACAAACTTTCACCCCAAATGTTTATGATTGCATTGTAAAGATAACTTAAAGTGACTTAATAATTTCTTTTATAGAATTTTGGTAGCTTACTTTTTTTTAAATTTTATTTTCCCATGTACATTACAATTATTAATACATTATTACAAATTGACTACAGCCGATTACGTTTGACTGTAAAACAACTTCCGTTCAGAACGTGCGTTTGTGACGTAATTTTTGACGTTTCCACGGCCAATTTTAATCGTTGCTAAGGGGCGGGAACAAGATTTTAAATGTAAACAAGTTCGATACGATGCGGAAAGTGAATAAGAAAGGCAGATCATACCCTTTGGGAAAGGCACTTTCCCTTGAAAGAAGGGTTAATATTGTGGACGAAATTCAAAATAAAGGAGGAGACAAACATACAGGAATTTTCCGTGGCAGATTTACTGATGTAGCAGACAAGCTGGTAGTGACAACTGCCACTGTTTCAAAAGTATGGCAGCAATATTGTATGACGAATGATTTGGCGCCGAAGCATGGAGGGGGAATAGAAGAAGTTTGTCAGACGGGGATCTCCAATTAATTGAAGTCTTGAAAAGAAGCAAACCTTCAACGATGTATTCAGAACTCGCTGAATGCTTAAACGAGTTCGGCGATCTTCCTGAAGGTGGGACATCGTGGGGCTTAAGCATTCAACTCGATAAATCCTAATACCGGACAACCATGTTTAGAATTCGGAGACGTTATAATTATGGACAATTTTCCATTTCACCACAACGAAGGCGGCGAGGTTTTGGAAGACTTCCTGAACGATTTAAATATTGAACTAGTCTATATGCCTTGCTATAGCCCAGACTTTAATCCGGCTGAATATGTGTTTGGCAAAATAAAAACCTTGTTGAAATACAGATTGCAGGATTTAAACTAATACAAATCTGGTTGAATCTCTTTATACCGCCATAAGTTTGGTAACTGTTGGGGACATGCGAGAGTTTTTCAGAATTACTGGTTACTTAACAGTGTAAATTTTTCAGGTTTATACACCTTATGAAATACTGTAGAGTGTATTGGCTGAAGTAATCATACCCTCAGGAATCCCAGAACTATTATTAGTAAATAATAAATTGGATTATTTACTGAAGGCTCTGGAATCCAGGGTAAAGTAATCGCTGTTACTGTATTAAATCTATTGTTGTTAATATAATTTCTGTTTGCATTCACATGTACATCATACTACATGTATTATTATTAAATATCGTCATCATTTACTGTAATATTAATATTGACAATATTGTATTGTAACTATATATAGTTTTTGTACATACATTTTATACAGTAAAACTTCCGAAACTTCGTTTGTAACACACATTCAATTAAAGTGCATATGTGATATGACACAAAACTTCAATCAAAGTGCATATGACACAAATTACTGGTAAAGTGTTTAAAAAAATCAATTGCTGTATAAGCAAGTTTTACAAATCAGAATACAAAAATATTTTTAGAATACAAAGAAAGGTTTTGCAACAATATAAATTGAACATTCCGAAAAGCTTACCTATAAACAAGTCTGCTATACTAAAATACTGTAATTTGTGTGGCATTTATTAAAAAACCTATGATTTATTACACGTATATGAACAGTGTGTTTATGTGTTGAACATGTTTCGTCAACAAAAATACTAATATACCGATGATGTGTTATTTCAAAAACGCCTAGCCCAGGCGTTTTTGAAATGATCTACGTCATTTGTATATTAGTAAGCTGGGCGAAAGAATATCAAGAGTATCAAAACTGCTATAACAACAAACTGAAAAATTTAATATATGGAATGTTTTCAAATCACAGTACGTATTACAAGCCATTTGTGAACAGCTGTTACTGTACAACAACATATATGACAACTAGCGTTAGATGATGACAAGCAATTATACTTATGTGATTGAGAATAATATAATATGAATGGTAATATCAGTAAACACCAACGCAACGTGCAAGAAAGGATGAAAATCATGAATGCCGTAGCAAGCTCGATAATTGGGGGGGAAGGGGGGATATTCATATATTCTTGTTCACAGACCATAAAAACAATAGATTTCAAAAGAAATTAATAACGCAGAACACGAACATATGAATACGAGCCCTCCCCAATTATCGAGCTGGCTACGGCACTGAAAATGACACGAACTAAATATAAAGTTTATACTAAATCAGTTTCGATCGTTTTATGCGTAGATCAATGTCCTTTCCGCTGCTGAAGTTGTAACAAAGCAGCAGCGGCATTTGCCTCAAATTCAAGATCTGCGTTTGCAATTACAGGGCACATCATTAGCTGTGGCCTCATCCTCGGCCTGATTATTAAAATCACTGTCCGCCACATTGCACTGTCCCATACTTTCCGATTCCATTTCCTCTTGTTGTAGCTTAAGAGCTAACATTAAATCCTGCATCTCCTGATGTGATGCAGAAAAAAAACTGGCATTTGCCACACCACTTGAGCAATTACTTGAACTCTTTGGTTTCACAATTGTGTGCGTCGAAGAGACTGAAGAAGAAAAACCTTGTTTGAGTTTTTTTTCTTTCGTTTTAATAGTATCAGTCGGGAAAACTATACCATATTCATTAGAGAGGAGGCGTTTCTGTGAAGACATTCAATGATCAGTTGAAGAATTAAAAACAACGCTGTGAACAAGAGCCATGATGTTTTCTCTCGACGGCAGTCTTCCTTGCAAGTGTTTTTGAAGAAGAGCGACGTCTTCGTTTAAAACCACCCAGTTTCTACGGCCAAACAAAGTGTATCTATCTGGATATTCTTGTACGATACAATCCTCAATTTGTTTCAAAGCAGATGATAACACTTTCTCGGTTACGCGTTCTGCATTTTGAACTTCATTTCGTGCAGCAATGAGAGTTAGTGTTTAGCAACTTCTCTCTGCAACGTCGTAATTTCCATTTTCTCGACGCCATGTTTTGAAGTAATGCCACAAGAGTAAGCTGATTTGCATGGACTGTACTCGCATCTCTTTTTTGTGTGTCCAAGTTTTAAATGACAGTTCCTGCACATAACCTGATTTCCATTCCCTACTTTAGCTCTATTTTGCTGTAAAGCGGTGTTAATTTTATTTTCGCAAATCAAGAGTTCTCGCTTTTTAATTTGTAACTGACGCTGAATATCGTCGACAGCCAGGTGAATCAAATGTGAAAGCCTTAACGGAGATTTTTTTTCCTTCTCTAAGAGTCCTTTTATCTGGAAACTAAAGTATGACGGAGACAAATCTACTTCGACATTGTCTTCAAAAACTGTCAGTCGCAAAGATGAACCGACCTTGTCAAGGTGTGGAACTTCGGAGATTAAACGTGTTCTGAATTCTTTGTAACACAAATTTATGAGATCCTCTTCTCTAATAAATATTGGGGTGATCCTTTTAGTAGCATAATAGTCGTAAATAATTTTAATTTTTACCAACGACATGATCATAAACAGTCAGAAAGTCCAGAGAATGCGAAAGAACTGTGAGCCTTCGAAATTTATAGAATCTTGTTCCCACCTCTTAGCAACGATTAAAATTGGCCGTAGAAACGTCAAAAATTTACGTCACAAACGCGCGTTCTGAACGGAAGTTGTTTTACAGTCAAACGGAATCGGCTGTATTTGGGCTAGAGACCTACTAGAAACCTTTGCAGGCTTTTGTTTCTAGGCCACTAGTCATGTCCTATTCAGATTATTTTATTATTTACAGTAATTTTTAAGATAATATTAAATGGAGAAGAAAAGTTTTACAAGGTATATACAAGATATTTACAAATTTGAGGTATGAAGGGTAAATACTGTAGTGTTTACAATATTAAAATAAAGAGATACACTAGTTAGATTATTATATGGTATTTTTTTGCACAATGATGATGCATGGACAGACATTGTCTGCATAAAGAAAGTGTGATTTCTGAATCTATGTATTTGTAACTGGATTTAATATAAAGTGTTGCTTAATTAGTTTCCTGAAGGTATTATAGAAATTTATATCTTTCAGATTTGTTTCTAATTTGTTCCACACATCAACTCCTTTATTTGAAAGAGTGTGTTTTACATAATTTGTTCTCTTTATAACATTTAAAAAGTTTTGATGCGTTTCTCGTATTATGTTGATGAATTTGGTTGTTTGTACGAAGTAGTTAGTAAAATATTCTGGTAAATTTTTAAGATGATGATATCGAAACATAAATAAAGCAGTTAAATAATTGTTGATTTTAAAAATATCAAGTATATGTAATTCTTTGAATATAGCCTCAGTGTGTTCCAAAGTACGACTTAAATGTCATTAAGACGTACAATTTTTTTCTGGATATTCATTATTTTATTAATTTGGGTTTTGTATGTACTACCCCAAATTAAATTGCCATAAATCAGATATGGATAGACTAATGCATAATAAATTAGTTTGATAGCATTTCGATTTAAGAAATGTCTAATTTTAGCTATTATTCCGGAAGCCTTCAAGAGTTTTTTTGAAACATTTTGAAAACGCAATATTTTACCTTAATAAAATATTTTTACAAACAAACACAGAGGGTTAATTACCAGTTATGAACTTAATACATATACAAGGGCAATTTTTAAGTTTTTTAGATACATATTTGTCAAGAAAACTATACTTTTCTGAAAACTCATTATGTGATGTGTGATGTCACACCAGTGATATGTGCATATGAAACAAAGTTTAATATCTTGAAAAGGAAGCAAGTTGCCAAAATTCTATAATTAACAATTATTGAATTCGGTTTTCACACGATATGAAGAATTATCAAGCCCAAAGCCGAAGGCTGAGGTTGATAATGCCAAAGTGAGGGCTTGATAATTCTTCATATTGTGCGAAAACCGAATTCAATAATTGCTTTATTATTTATTTAAAAAAGTCAAAACAAACATTTGTATTTTATTTGTATTAAGAAAAAAACAATTCCTTAGTCCTTCGGCTGTTGTTGTTGCGTCATATCATAGGTGTCAGCGAGTCAATATGATTCTTGTCGTCATAGTAATATGGCGCAAACGCGTCCAAAATTTTTTTCATATTAACTCTTTGAGGTCATTTTCCTAATATGAATGTGAAAAATCTGTATTTGATTAGCCATTGAGTTGATATGACAACTTCACAGTTGGCTGTTAGCCAATCAGAAACCAGGAATTTTTAAAATAAATAATAAAAGAAATTATGAAGTCATTTTAAGTGATCTTTACAATGCAACCATAAATATTTGGGGTGAAATTTCGTGTCATAGGCACTTTAAAAAATGAACTTTGGAACTTCATGGTTGACATGCATGCATATTGCACCCACTTTATTATTGACTGGTCAATAAATGTTTCATTGTGGACCAGTTGCCTCCTCGGCAAAGCATGCAGTGAACTTGATACGGTTTTGACCTATCAGCAAACAAAAAACTTTGACACTAACTATATAACAATGACATTTATATTACAGTGAATAATTGCTGATGTTTCATGATTATTGTACATTACTTTTGGTGCTTCTCCCTTACTTTCTTTAATATTTTTGGTAGCCCCACCTAAGTGGTTAATATATTTTTGGTAGGCCAAATATCTTCCGGCCCACCCCTGCCAAATATGTTCCAGCCCCCCCCCCAGCATTAATAGTGACTGCTTCCTTAATAAACCAGGCAGTATAGTGCCCTGCATGGCAGTTTATGGCAATATTTGGAGTGGTTGAAAATCAATGGCAATGGCAATATAATCTCTATAACAGATGCTGCCAATCCTGCAATATACTTATGGTTATCTTATAGTTTGTGGGAATTGACAACTGCCTATATCCTTAAATTCATTAAAGCATTAGGTATGTAAATAATGATTTCGATTCTAGGACCTTAATATATTCCGTTGATCTGTATTACATATGTATGACAGCTACAGAACTCAGTAACAGCTGTACTATTTTCGTCTGACTCACATCGCACATGCTAAAATTTCTTCCTCAGGTTTGTTTATAAGGCCAAATTTATAATGGTAATTGAACTGAGTGGAGTGCAATTTGGACTGAAATCAAACATGTGATTACAAAATCGCACGACCGCGAACCAGGAGTGCGATTTGTAATCACAAGTTTGATTTCAGTCCAAAATTGCACGACACGAAGTTCAAGTTCCACTTTATTATATTCATCTTAAATATTTTTGAATTTTTTGTAAACCGGAAACGTTTTTGTTTGCAAAAAAACACACCTCCGGTACCTCCCCTGAGTGCTGTAGCATAGCAACAATAAGCGAACAAGATGAGGTTTTGTAATTTATATATTTTATACGTTAAAAAATCTAAATTGTTAAAGAAATGAAGACATTTATAAAGAATAAGAGACAACACTAGTAAGTTTATAGATATCGTAGGTTTTACGAGTGATTTGAAAAAGTTTTGGTGCAATTTTGTGCATTTAAAACTGGAAATACGGACAGGCGAATTTACCTTTGTTTTCCCTGATTTAAATTTGCTTTTGTTAGCGTTTTGACCAGATTTGATTTTATTGGTTCACAGGGGTGCGATTTCAGCACAAATCAAAGTGCGATTCGTACTGAAACCGCACTCCTGTGAACCTATCAGATTGCAGGAAACACCATTGATTTCAAAATGAATATAACAAATATAATTATTACAATGTTTAGTTGCTACAGTATTGATGGTTTATTTCATTTATAACTATTAATTATTCTCTAAAAATATTGCAATCATGTAATCAAATAATCTCTGAATAATATAATAATGCTCAATGTCAGTTTCTTATTGTAACCATGATGAATCGCTCTTAGTAATATAGCCTTGTGTTATTGGTGGTGCAATGGTTTAAGGCCACATAAAATAAATTCCTTGATTCTCATCACTACACTTTGAAAATATCAAAGAAGTGGGAGGTTTATATTTTATTTTTATAATTTATATATCAATAAATAAAAAAAATCCTAACATTTAATATTTCTGTGAGTTCTTAAGTGAAGTGTCATAAACCAAAATAAACATATTACAGTACACATTTCTGTCATTTCCAACATATGAACATGGACTGAACCCTTGAATAAACGCGAAGTTCCTGTAAAATGCAATGAAATTTCTTTCAAGTTTCTGTTTGTTTGAATTGGCAGTTTAACTCATTAACGCCCAATGCGCCTGTATGCGCCCTGAGATTGACATGTGGGTAACGGACAATGCACCCGAATACGCCCTCAAATGACACCTCAACTTGCAGGCATGATATTTGAGCATGTGTTTATCGGGTTGCCTAGCAACGGATACGAAAATAGAACGTGAAATTCGAGCTTTTCAACGGTGAATCATGCAAGAAAATGGGTCAGAAACTCGCAAAGTT